GTTTGAGAGCCCTATGGGACATGCAGTTTGAAATATCCTGGAGCTCAGGAGAGAGACTAGTGTTAACTATACAGATTGGAGCCATCTGCTTAGAGATGATAATTAAACTAATGGGAGCTGATGAGGTCACCAAAAGAGACATTCTAGAGCAGGGCTTCTGAACCTAGCATGAACTTGTTTTTAGAAATATTTGATGATAACTACATTTCAATGTAATTGGTTTTCTAAGCTTCTAATTTTATTTTAGAAACATTTTTTGGAAGAATCTACTGGTTTTACCAGACTGCCAAAGGGAGTCCATGGCACAAAAAAGGTTAAGAACTGCTGGTATTGGGAGAGTAGAAGGGGATGCAGGATGGAACCTTGGAGCATATATTTTGTTGGAGAGCATGAGATAGATGATAAACCAGCAAAAGAATGAAGAAAGAGAGGTCAGACAGGTAGCAGAACCAAAAAAGAGCAGTGTCATTAAAACCCAACAAAGAGGGTGTTCAACAGTGTCAAATACTGAAGACAGGTCAGAGAAAAAGCCATTGGGTAATTAACAAGTCATTGGTAATTTGGAAGACAGTCATCTCAGTTAAGTAACGAGGCCAAAAGTCAGATCACAGAGGGTTGAGAAGCAAATGAAAGGAAAGAAAGTAGAGGCAAGAGCATAGATGACTTCATCTAGGAGTTTGGCTACGAAAATAGAGAAACTGGATGGTAGCTTAAAGAGAGGGTAGGGTTTTTTAAGGATGGGAAAAAATTGGATGTGCTTGTACAAAGGCAGTAGGAAATGATCAACAGTGTCAAATACTAAAAAGAATTTGACCTATCAGGACAGAAAATGCCACTGGATAAGGCAAATGTATAGGTAATCTTAGGGGCAGGGCTAGAGGCCAGATGGCAGGGGTTGAGAAGTGAAAGAATGTGCAGGAAATGGAGACAATAGTTTTAGATTATATATTTAAGGAATATGGAAAGAGGAATCTTATTTATCTTAGCTGACAAATATGCTTTTTGGTATGTTTTAGGTTTGAGGAGCTAATTTCTGAGAGGCGATCAGTATCTCCTGCTCTTTCTTTAACATTTAGAAACAAATGGCTTCTATATGGATGGTTATGGTGTAAGAATTAATAATAGTACACTAAAAAAAGAGAGAGATCCCAGTGCATAACTTAGTTATTCAAATAGGGCTTACTGAAAGACAGGCAGCTGGCTCTGTCCCAAAATGACAGAGAGATTTGGAACATGACTGCCTCTGATGTTACTCTTGGGTCTGTGATGAGTCCTTGGGTTTGGTCAATTCCCATTATGTCCGTGGATAGCACGCAGCAATGCTCTTTAGTAGGGCAATTTAAGGCTGGCTTGCTCTGGCTTCTGATGTGGCTTATTATCTGAGTGTCACCTTTGATCTGGCTTTGAAGCCATAACGAGCATGGCTTTGCCAGGGTAGTAGTGACAGAACTTGTGGACAGTCTGTTTGAACTCATAATTAGTTTTTTGGACAGCTTGATCAAACTTTGACACATTGAATCGAATCACTGGCAATAGATACATAGGTTGTTGTTATCTTCATTAGAGCCTTCTTGCTGGGCAGTGTCTTAGAAGGAACCTAAGGATGGGCCAAACTCGGTAACCATGGGAGGCAACTATTGTCTCATGGTGGGCAGCTTCAGTGCCGATGTCAACTGTCAGAAGTAGCAGAAGTTACTATAATCTTAAAGAAGGTGGGTGAGATCAAAACCTGTATAGTAAGATTTCTCACAAAAGTTATAATAATGATACTATATTTTCAAGAAAACAATTACCTCAAAATCCAAGTAGAAAGGGTTACAAGACATTATTACTATTTTTATGAGACAAGAGTAATTTAATTTTGTTTTATATCATTTTGATTTCCAAATATGTCCTTCCTTCCTCACACAACAAACCATCTCTTGCAACAAAGAAAAAAAAGAGAAAGTAGTTTTGCAAAATTAACCACACATCAACTAAACCTGACAGAACATGCAAAGTTCTATACTAGGGGCTGGCAAACTATGGCCAGCAGGCCAAATCTGGCACATCTGTTTTTATACAACCCTCGAACTAAGGATAGTTTTGTATTTTCAAATAAATATTTATTTGGACACAGCCAAGCTCATTCAGTTATGTATTGTCCATGACAGAGCCGAGTAGATGCAACAAACACCCATATGGCAGCCTCATAGCTTGGCACTGCTGCTTGGTACAAATCAGTGAGGTGGACAGTTTCCAGTGCCATGTGCACGGCCACAACTCAACATCTTTTTTTTTTTTAAACATCAGTGCATACCCATCATATCAAAAATGGCAAAGAGAAAAAAAGTTTTAGAAAGAAATTAACGAACAGTGTGGATGGCTTTAGAAATTAGCTTCTGCTGCAGTTGATGTTTCTTAATGAATTCAACCTAAAACTGTAAAGCAAACCAGGACTTGTATGTGAAACTTCTACTGTGGTGAAGTCACTTCAATGACAACTAATGTTGTTTGAATCCCAAGTATGTCAAGATGCTTTAAACATTTCTAGTAATGCCAAAAATTAGAGATCTCCATTTCTATACAAATTTTGAGCTCAAACTACAATTCCAATAGCATTTTTCAGACCTTGATATGAATGAGAAAGAAATTTCTATTTCAAAATCCATTAACTGCAACTGAGGAACTTCTACCTAATCTTCAATTGGAAGTGATTCATCTGCAACATAATGATATGCTAAAAGGCAACTATCAAGAGAAGAAATAGAATTCTATAAATGCTTTCCAAGTGGTTAACGTGCTCAATTAAAATCATATGCTTGTGGATTAATATTGGCATTTGTCATACTTGTCTGCAAGAAAATGATGAAATATGCAAAGTCTCATTCTAGATTAAACATTAACAGATGACCACTTGATAATAGGGAACACTAACTCTGAACCCCAGTTAACTGTGAAATATTATGCCAAAATAAGAATTTCATTCTTCTCACTTGTAGACTAGATTACAAAAAAACTGCACCCAATTATTAATTATATTTTAAAATTTGGTAAAAAAATTTCCAGAAATTTGTTTTATCCTGTTATATAAGTACTTACAAACTATCTTTGATTTTTCTTGGCTCAAAAAACCTAAAATGTTTACTGTCTGGCCCTTTATGGAAGTTTGCTGATCCCTATTCTACACATTGTTTTCCATCTCTACCAAGTGTATTTTCTCATCTTTTTTCTTTTTTGAGGCCAAGCTGGGTCATTATAATCACATTTCATTCAGGTTTGTTTTTTTCTATTTATATTGTAGTCATGTAAATTTTCTTGGTACTGCTTACTTCACTCTGCTTCAGTTCATTTCTTCACACGATGCTCTGAAATGTTCATTTAGTTTCCTTTGGCTTATTTAGTAATACCGCATTACATCCACTGACCATATTTAGCTATTCCCCAAATGATGGGCACCTACATTGTTGCCAATTATTTGCCACCACGAAAAGCACAGTTTTGAATATTCTGGCACACATGGGCATGGCTATTAGTAGAATCTGTGTCTAAAGGGATGAGTATTTTAGTCAATTTTTTTTTTTACCAAGATACTACACTTGGTTCCTTTTGCTTTGGAAATGAGGTCCAATCCCACACATGGGCTTGTTCATCATTTTGTCCCCTTGTTAGAAGCAGAAATTCACATATTGGCAATACTTCAAATAGTGATGTCATACCAGACATACAGCTTCACCAACAATGCATTTATATAGTTGCTCCAGCACCGCCTATTCCCACTGTTCATCACATTTGCCAACTTGCTAGGAGAGAAGTGAAACCTCCGTGTTGTTTTGATTTATTTCTGTTATTACTAGAAAGAATAGAGCATTCTTTCATATGGCTAATAATTTGCATTTCTTTTGTTTATTTCTATCCTTTGACCACTTACCGATGGGGAGATCTGTTTCTTAGTTGTTCACATATTTTGGCTAGCAGATCCTTCAGAAATATTTGATACAAAATTGTAGGATTTTTTTAACCACTAAGCCACTTACGTTCCTATCCTATATTTGCACTTTGTTCATGCAAAAGCTTTTTAATTTCACATAATCAAAGCCATGTTTTATTATTTTTGTAATTACCTCTGTTCTTTGGTTAAGATTTTCCTCCACCTACAGCTACAAAAGATGTATAATTTTTTTCATGGTATGACCTTTACTATTCCTGTCATGTATCTATTTTGAATTTATTGTGGAAAATGGTATGATATGTTGATCTAAATCTGTCGGACACCTTTTCATTTTCCTAAAAATTTTGGTCAAACAGGGAGTTCTTTCCTATGTAATTTATATTTTCAGGTTTCTCAAACACTGGCTGGGAAATTGAGTTATTCCCGATTCTTCGTCTAGTCTGTTCCTTCAAGCTTCTCTTCTGTTTTTTTTTAACCAGCACTCAGTGGTTTTGATGACAGCAGTGTTATAACATAGTTCAAGATCCATGGTCTGAGTGCCATTTTGTCTTTTAAAATTGAAATCCTGGCAGGCGACGACATAAGAAACATTTGACATGTGCAAGCAAGTCAAGTTCTCACAGCCCCAGCTCCTTTGTGTTGCTGCTGTCCTGCAGAATCTTCCCCCTCTGCAGATCACTGGTGGTGTCTTTGAAGTAGAAGGACCTAATAATCTAGAAATCTCCTTTGGGACTGAGGGGAGGAAGAGGTTATTTCTCTGTAATAGGAGAAGCCAGGAAGGCAAAGGATCAGCAAAGTTGAACAGAGGGGAAGGGAAATAAGGCCTGGGGCTTAAATGGTTCTGTTAAGAAACGAATGAGCCAGGCAGCTAGATGGCGCAGTGGATAGAGCACCAGCCCTGAAGTCAGAAGACCTGAGTTCAAATCCAGCCTCAGACCAAACACTTGACACTTACTAGCTGTGTGACCCTGGGCAAGTCACTTAACCCCAACTGCCTAAAAAAGAAGGAAAAAAAAAAGAAACAAATGACTCAACAAAGACCAACAAAAGCAGAGGTTGACACACAAAGTTACACATGGATGTATATTTTAATAAAAATAATTCTGTCAAAATACAACAGAAAGTTTCATCTTTATCATATCTTGAGTACATTTGAATAGGTTTTTTTTTCCTTAGTTAAAATGTCCCCCCCTCCCTCCTCCCACCCCTTCTTCAAGGCTTCATGCTAGTGCCAGGTAACTCAACTCACAAATACAAAGCAGAGGCAGACCCAGTGTGCACAACTCTGATCACATCCATTTTGGTGACGTTATTCATAAAGAGGAAACGCTCTTTTTAATGAGGAGGAGGCCTAGAAAGCTGAGGGTCGGAGTCGCCATCTCTGTGTCAATCAGGAGTGAGCAGGGGCTGACGGAAGTTCTGCTGATGGTGCTGGCAAACTACACATTTTTCTCTGGTTTCATGCTCAGATGTAGCTCTTCATACCTGAGGTTTGAGCGTCCAAAAGACAACTCTCCATTTTAATAGTCTCTGTCTTACTTTGTGCTTGACCCAGGTGTGTCAGTGTCCCGAGATAGCAGACTCTGCTCTTCCTCCATCTCCAAGGGAGGGAACAGGGGGATTCCCTGTCCCCAGAACAGCATGCACAACCAAATACGCCCACCCACTGGAAGATCTGGAGAATAAGTCCACCAGAGACCAATGGGCATGGCTGGGGGTAGAGTGGACAGGAAGGGCTCTTGAATTCTCTTTCCCCATCCACAAAAAGAAAGCCAGAGCTTCCAAAGTCAAGGATGGGGTAAAGGGAATGCCCCCAGGGTTTACTTCCTGCTATTCTGGGGAACCACTCCCTGCTTTCTATCCTTATACTGCTCCAAACTTAGAACCTCTGACCCCATTTCCAGGAACCCAGGGCTGGGACTGAAAGGGTCAACACAGCAGGAGCTAGGGAGGGCCTGGGCCTGTGAGCTGGTTTCTGTGAATCTGCCTGCTTGCTTGTTTCCTGGATCACGGCATCGCAAGGTCTCAGAAAGGCTCTCTCAGTTGACGGCTGTCCCAAAGAGTGCCCAACAGGGCGCCTCTCCTAGAAATGACCTTCCTGACCACACCTCTAGGGAAGGTGAGGAAAGCCTGGAAGAAAGGAAGGAAGGGGCCTGCCTCTTATGTTAGCTTCCTGGAGGAGGGAAAGGGTTTGGATCTCCCTTTAGCAGCTTTTGAGGAACCACAGAAAACCTGATTCAACCTCAGTATTCAAGAGCTCTATGGCCTCCTGCAGCTTAAGAGTCCCCTGGACATGGTCAGAGATGGCATGGACAATTCCCCTGAAGACAGAGGGCCCATAGGACCTTGGTGCTGGTTACCTACAAATTTCAAGAGGTGCAGATGATCCACCTGGGACTGAAGGTGCCCCCTCCCTGGGGAAGGACAAGAAATGTAAACAACTTGGAGTCAGCTGAAATATTCAGATAAGGCACAGAAAACAAAGAGGAAACCTTGTAGAGGGAGTGGCCAATGGAGAATATCCCCTTCTCCTGCTATGCTAACTCTCCTGGGGTCTTCACTGACCTGCAGGACAGCCTTTTCCATCAAATGTCAAAACTTGGCCATTCACCCAAATCAGCAGGACCTTACCCATCTGTGGCATCTTATGATACCTGCGGGGTGTGATGACTCCCTCTCTTTCCAGCCATAGTTTGTGATACTGTCTCACTACTGGTGCCAAGAGAGAGTAGAGAGAGAACTGGCTTAGGAGTGAGCCTGCATCCTACCCCTCCTGGCTTTGCTTGTCACAAGCTGCGTGTTGTTGGGTTTCAACGTTTTCAATGAAAGGGCAAGCTCTGGATGATTTCTGAGGTCCTTTCTAGCTCTAAGAACCCACTCTACTTCCTGAACCCAGCTGGTACCCAATTAAAAAAGCAGCCCAGCAGCCTCAACTCTGGGGCACTGGAAGTCAGATACCACTGACTTTCAAAAAGCAGTTATTTCTACCATAGATACACACGTGGGCATGGAAAGTCCCTGGGAGGAGGAGGTAGTGTAGCCTGGCCTCCCTGATGTCCTTTTGAGACATCAAGGCACTTAGAAAAATGAGTTCTCCTCCTTCTCCCTCCTCCAGTTATGTATCATTCTTACTCTTTAAAAAAAAAGGGGGGGGGGCAAAAAATGTTAAAAAAAAATCTTGGCCTACCTTTAAAGCTGTGAGGAGCTATCAGGTTTGGGCCTCTCTTAATCTGCTCTGGAAGAGGCCTGATGCTCCTAGGTGGTTCCAGAACTATTCTGACCTCCTGAGAGTTTCCTCGGACAAGCAGGAAATGACCAGCACTATGATAAAGAGACAATCTTTTGACAGTGAGTGACAGTTTCTCTATTTTTTTCATTGTCAACTATTATTACCAGATCAGTGTCTCTTTGGGGCATTCAGTTCCAAGACCACTCACTATACACTGGCCACCACAGCCTGCATTCTGTCTCAGGAAGGTGTCTCTCACTGGAAAATTCAATTACATTAGGAGGTAGTATGGTATAGTGAAAAAAACACTGGACAAGGGTAAGGAGGCCAAAGTTCAGATCTCAGATCTGCTACTGTGACTTTGCTCAAATCATCTTTCAGGGACTTGGCTTCTTCAACTGTAAAATTAGACAATTGGATTAGATGATCTCTAAGGAATCTAGGAATTAAACCCAATACCTGTTACATGCCAAATATTATAGACTGTTCTCCCAGTCCTAGGGACTGAGCAGTTCCGGTAGCCTAGAATAAGAAATTCTATGTTTGAATTTTAACCCTCTTACTAGATGACTGGCTACATCTAAGCTTCTTGGGACCTAAACTTTTTCATACATAAACTGGGGAAGCTAATTCCTGTTCTTCCCTAACCGCATCCTCTAGGGCTCACTGGCTCTTTGGACTGAGCCCAGGACTGAGGCCATAGTGGGAGGCAGGCTGGATTTCCTGGATATATCTTGCTCTGCCCTAGCTAATACCCTGAATATCATTTCTTCCATTCATTTAGACAACCCCCATTCAAGCTGGCTTCCTATCCTCACCTCCACATCACTGTTTCCCTCACCCTAACAAGACAAAAGTACACATAAGTCCAGCTTCCTCTCTTATGCTTCTCCAATTACTACAGGGTTCCTATGGATACCATTTGGCTACAAATCTCCAGAAATCTATTCCTGGGTCTAAAACTTAAAGCCCAGAACTGATCTGACAGGTTCTGAAGCTGCTCTCTTCTCTTCTTCCTTGGTTGACATGTCAACCTGATGCTTACGGGGCACAGGCTGCATTTCCAACTGACAAAATTTGTGACGAGCAAGAGACAAGCCTAGGAAATACTAAGCTGGTGAATCTTAACCAGTTTCTAGAAAATGTTTCTGCTGCTGTCTTCAAGCACTCAAAACAGATTCCCACTCAACTCGGCACTCCCTCTTAAAGACTGCACAAGGACCCAGGGGGAGCCCTAATCCCATTTTGGACATTCAGATGTTTACCATAAATTCCAAAGATACTGAAGAGCAACAGAAATCAGCAGGGTAATCTGGGTCTGAGAACTGGGTCACTTTGAGGTGATGGTAGCTTTCACTTCAGAAACGAATGAAGAGATGGTACGAGAACTGGGAATGTGTAGACAAGCCCTACCACACTCACTAAGACAACCCAGAGGGGTATGAGAAGTCTTCCTTTTCTGCTAGCTAGTAATTCCTACTCACTCCTGCTGATCACTACTAAATCAAAAAGTCATAATTCACATTCTCATAGAATCACAGACGTTAGATCTGGAGGCACCTTAGAGATCATTTAGTTCAATTTTTTCATTTTACAGATGAAGAAACTGAGTCTTGGAGAAGACAGGTGACTTGTCCATGGTTTCCCAGGTGGTAAACAGTACAGAACTCAGTTCCTCTGACTCCAAATTCAGAGCTCTTTCCATTCTACAACACTGCCTGTCTTTCTCCAATTGGGGCAAGGTAGAAAGAATCCTAGATGTGGAATCAGAGAACCTGGTTTCCAGTCCTGGTGTGGCGAGGGTGTACTGGATGACTCGTTGGGTCTCTTCCTCTCTATATCTACACTAGGATGACTGACCAATCTGATCCTGTTCAGAGCCCACACCAAAAGGTCACCAGAGTTCATCAGAAGACCACGGCAGAGCTAGAGATGAGAAAGGAAATGGCAGCATAGATGGGAACAGAAGCTTCTGCAGCTGAGACCCTCCCTGCCCTAAGGAGGGTAGCTAGAAAGGGGGCCAGGACTTAAAGCCAAGTGCCCCAGAAGCATGCTGATAGTCTTTCCACAGAGAGCTCTCTGAGATGGGAGGAGTGGCTGATCACCTGGCACTGGTAGCTCCATAGGTTCTGATGCTTGAGAATGTGGTCATCTTCCTCTCCATCCAGAAACCCTGAAACACCTAATTCCTGATGCTGAACGGCTGTCCTCCCTGACCCAGGAGAAAGCTCTCATTCAGGAAGGCAACAGAACTTGGACAAATCACGGCTCCTTTCTAGGCACAGGTTTCTTCTCGTTCGACAAATGGAAAGGTCTCTTCCACCTGAAAAATCATCCTCTCTAGTCTTCCCAGGGGAGCCTTGGCATATGGCCAGCTCGTGTCTCAGGCCTTTAGGAGCTCAGTAAGAATAACCTTTTTCTTTTCTTCCAGTGTTTTAAATGCAGACAACCCTTCTACTGACTGGAGACAAACTTCAGGGGCAGGTATGCTCTGAACTCCTGGAATCAAAGGCTGAATATTATCCCTACAGGTGGGAATCCTCTGCACTACTTACTTACTATTGGCCTCTGGAACAGAACAAAGGCCCTGTGCTAAACTGCTGAACATGACATCCATACTCCCCCAGAATTCAGTGACTCCACCTCATATAGACCAGACAATGGTTCTGCAAAAAGGACCATGTTCCTCAAAGTCTCATTTTGCCAAGAATAGCCATAAAAAAATTCAAGACTTCAAAATAAACACTTCAAAGGGGAAAAAAAAGGAAAAAGCAAACCAACAACTGACCCAAGATGGCTGCTGCCCCTTAAAAAGATGGAATTAAGACTACAATTTATTGCTCTCTGAATCAGCAGTGCCTTGAAGCCTGGAACATCAATACCCGACAGAGCTCTGAGCCCTTTCTCAGAAAAGGTCTGACTACTTCTCTAAGTTTCTACCCCTTCCCCACATTGGGTTATTCTAACTACATCCTTATAAGGGGATGGGAGGGTCTCACTGGCCTCAACAATCAAAATGGGACATCTCTAGTCCCAGTGCCCAGTTCTACCTGGCTGTCTCTGCCTGAACTGAAGGACTGTTCCTCCCCCTTCTCGCAGGCATCCTCCTTCTGACACTTTCAGAGAGGTGACCTGTCATGGTGGACAGGGCAGCTTAGACTTAGAGCCACAAGACCAAGGTTAGCCTTGGAGCTACTATTTGTTATGTGACCTCAGGCAGGTCCCATTCTCTTTCAGGGACTGTTTGCTCATCTGTAAAACGAGGGTGTTGGAACAGATAAACTGTTCTCACTGTGTCTCACTCTGAACTGCATGATCTGATGACCAATCTCCCCTGGCTCCTGGTCTCTCTCTTCTTCCCTATCTCTGGCCATATCCAACACAACAAAGTTCCTACTGTGTTTTCTTCAACTGACTTTATGGTTTGGAAGTTCAGCTGGGGATATGGTAGAAGGAAATGAACAACTTGTTTGAGGTGACAGAGATGGTTTCTTTTTAGTGAGTGGGACCTCCCCCTCCCCCTAAAAACATACACTGTCTGGACTGCCTCTCCCCAAAGTGTCCAGACAACTAGCACTACGATAAATACTGTGTTTGTTTATATATATATATTTATATATAATCTCATTTTTTTTTACTTAAGAAAATAATAAGCTATCACCAACTTGGATGAGCTTTATCATCACTAAATTAGCAGAAACCAGCTCAGCACAAACTCTCCAGAGATAAATACTGGTGGCTCAGTCAGAAAAAATATAGATAAAAAACCAAAAGCAACCAACTCCCTCTGCCTCCCCCCAACAATGTCCCTAAGAGTGAAGGTGCTACATTAGGGTAACCAGCCAAATACTGTGTGTGTTGTCCCTGCTGTTGCTGCACATGATGGAAAAAAGAGTCAAGGGGAGGTTGAGAGGATGGAGAAAAGGAATGGAAAAGGAAGGATGGGGGGGGCGGGGAGAGGAAGATCTAACTCTGCCAGCAGCTTCCAGGTCTCTGAGACAGATGTGTGAGAAGGGGCCATGATGATAATGAGAGGATAAGGCTAGCCCTGAGTCCTTGGGCTAGCCCAGGGTGAGGAGGGGCAGCATGGAGAAGGCCAGATTGAGCCCAGGGGCCAGGTTAGGGCAGCTTGGTGGGATGGTGCTCCCCTCTTACTCAGGTGGCTAGTGCAAATAGTCATCAACTCTGGCAAATGAACAGGAGCCTAGGCCAACTCGGGCCATAAGCCGAAGACACTCGGATGCTTGGCCCAAGGCGAGCATCAGTGGGGGCTGCTTTGGCAGGTTTTGAGATTCTGCAGGGGAAAAAGAGAAGACCAGATTATTCTCTCAAAGGCCTCAGCTCTCAGCATCACTGCATAAGACCAGCATATACCCTACAGTCAGATTTGGGAGAATTGGGTGCTGAATTAGGTTTGGTTCCCACATCTACAGCAAAGTCTGTATAGAGAAATACAGGAAACTCAGAGCAGAGGAAAATGCCTCAAAGAACCTAATTTGGGGTCAGAAGGAGAGTGGCTGCATGCGAGCTCTTGTCCAGTTCTCTTTGTGACCAAGGGCACATACTTGTAAGAGCTCAGTGAGAGGGATATAGCCTATGGTGAGAGTCAGGGAGCTGACCTGTGTGGCCTTGACTGGAATCTCTATGTGGCTAAGCTTAGGGGTGCCTACTGTTAAAGATTAATGTATAATCTGAGTTAGGGGCTGGTCTGTGGTCAGGGTTAGGGAGTTGGGTTAAGGTGGAAGAAGGGGTCTGTATGGGATCAAAGTCAGGGCCTTGGTCCATGGCTGGGGTTAGAGGCCAACCTATATTGAGGGTTAAGGTTAACACAGTCTCTAATTAGAAATCAGGGCAGGGCTAGGGAGAAAGGGTCAGACCATGATCAGCATGAAGACATCAATCCATGGCCAGGGCTAGGGTATTAGGCTAGGGCTATAGGTCAATCATCGCTCAGAGTTAAAACTCAAACTAAGGCAAGAGTTAGATGATTATTCTGGTGGGAGAGATGGAGGAAGAGAATGTCAGGCTCTGTCCAGGTTAGGGAGCTCAATCTGTGTCTAGGCTTAGATACAGTCTGAGACTAGGGTAAAGGTTGCAATCTGTGGTGATGGTTAAGACACTCCACCTATAAATAGAGTTGGGGAAAGGGTCAGTCTGTGGCCAAGGTTATGGTTCAATCTATGACCACAGTTACGGAGTCAGTTTCGGGTTAGGATTCAATCCAGAGTATTAGGGTCTGTGTCTAGGGTGAGGCACAAATCTATTGTCAGAGTGGGGAGTCAGTCTGAGGTCAGATTTGAGGGTCTTTGTGTCTTGGGTTAGGGAACAAACCCAAAGGTCAGTCTGTGGCCAGGAGCAGGCAGTCAGTCAGAGCCCAGAGTCAGGGGCCCAGTCTGTGAAGGCTGAAGCTCATTTCAAAGTTATGGGTCCATCTACGACCAGGGTTAGAGTCAGCCTGGTGTTAGGGTTGAGTAGGAATTGGGATTCGGTCCATGGCTGGGATTAGGGACTAGTCCATGGAACAAACCTTGGTAGAATTTGGGCATAATTAGTGACCTGACTATCCCAGAAAGGACATAATGAAGACTAGGGTCTAATGATCCTCCAGAGGGAAAGGGGAGTCCCCAGGCCCAAATATCCTAAAGGGGGGAAGGCAGGCAGGAGCCTTGAGGGTGAAGGTGGCTAAAGGAGGGGTGAGAGAGGAGGGAGGGGAAGGGAATTCCCCACTGACATGGATCTACTGAGTTTCTCCATTCCCAATCTGGTAGATGCCAGAGAGTGAACTCCTTAAGAACAGGGAACCACATCCTTCCTGAGCCCTAAAAGGCCCTCAAGTGCCTAGTATATGGCTTGCAGGCGGCCAACAATCCTGTATGATCTCTTTATGTCCCAGTGGGTCTGAGCCCAACATCAACCCCTTTAAAAGACACCAAACCTTATCTTTGATCAGATTCAAGAGAGGAGGGAGGAAAGTTTCCTTCATCATCTTGCCCAGGTTCTGTCTAAGCCTGCGGCAGTGAAAGCTCCCTGGGGAAGCTGGGGAGCTTAGACTCCCCTGACTCCCAGTCATGGAAACAGCAGAATCTTGCCTGGGGCTCTTTTCCTACCTAAAATAGCACTATTGAGAGCTGCACACACAGGCTCCCTCTGGATAGGGTCTAGTTGCTGACCAACAGGGCAGTTCCATGGGTCGGAGTATGCTAATAAGCTGAATGCGTCCTGGATGGAAGAAAGCAGATGGAAGAAGTGGTGAGATAGGAGGGGCCCTTCCCTTGAGGCCCTCCCCTCCCAAAGCCCCCCTCCACCTCCTCAGCTGGAGTGCTGGGGAGCGCTGGGGCCGAGCCTACAAGCTCCAACAGACCTGCTTTCCTCCCCGTCTCCGAGGAGCTCCCCTTCAGGCAGAGTAAAAAGCTGTCCTCTTCGTGAAGGCTCCCAGCCCAACCCCCTGAGATTGCTGGCCTGGCCTTATTCCTGGAGCCCCGGGCAGCAGCTGGAAAGGAGCTCAGGGGCTTCTCCTGCAGCGGGAGTTTCTGGAGCTGAACTGCAGAGGAGGTGACTGTTTTGTTGGGGCTGAAACATGAAGTAGGATCCTCGAATCCCCTGAAGGGGCTACTCCCAACATAACAAGCTGCTGCTGCCCCTTCTCTCCCTCAGACACAGAAGTCCCTCCCCCCGTGTGGGGCTACCAAATCAGTCCTACTGGAAACTGTATACCAAGCCAATCCTGTCACCCACTTAACTCAGGGCTGGGGCCTGGCTCTACCATGTGACCAAAGGCCTCTGTGCTTCTGCTCTCTTGAGAAATGTCTCACCCTTGGCCAGGGCCTGTCACTGGGACGGGGCCTTTCCTACAGGCTTCATTCAGGAACAGATGAGGGGGGAATGTCATACCCAAGTGCTACCCAGTCCCTTAGCCCTCAGGCCCCAAGGCCATCCTGGAGTTACCTGCAGCATCTCTTTATGGGCCAGATTCTTGCCATACTCCCGGCACAGCTGCTCACTGAGGGTCTGCAGCTCCCGGCCAAACAAGATAATTCTCTCTGTGGCAGCCTGGTTGCCTCCACAGAGCTGTCGCCGAGGATGCCCATCTTCTGTGCCGAGAGGGAGAGGACACATAAAACATACATTAATGACAGGCTAGCAGGAATCCCAGGGGTTGCCTAGTACACTGTCTTCCCATCACAGGGCTTTAAGGAAAGACGGTGGCAGTCAAAAAAGGTAACAGCTGTGTGATGGGGGGGCCCCTGGATGACCTAAGGCTAAGGCTGCTTCTGGATGAGCTGTGGCTGGGTCTGTCTACATGGCCAGACTTCAGGAAGCTGGAGAAGCCAGCTGGCACAGTTTTGGGAAGACCACCTTAGATCTAACCACCTATTTTGACTTAGCATGCTCTGTCAGACATCTTCTGCATCCTCTGACTACTAAACTATGATCTCACTCAAGCCCCAAATGACATACTAGGCCTGAAAATAAATCTAGACATTCATTCAGCTCTTGAAATACTCCAATGTACAACTTCACTGGGAGGAATACAGGGAGTCAGCCCCCTGCACTGTTGCTGGTTTTGTTTGTGGTTTTTTTTAGGAATTTTTTTTCTCCCAATTACATAAAAAAATTTTTAACATTCATTTTTAAAAATCTTCCAAATTCTTCTCCTCCCTGAGATGGTAAGCAATCTGACATAGGTTATCTATGCCCCTGCACTGTTAAAGAAGACCTGGCCAGGGGTAGACCAGAGGCTTCTCAAGACCAGTGGGCTTCTCAAATTCCCACCAGCCCTCACTCGTTCAGTCCAAGCTCCAGCGGTCGTCAGGGCTTCAGTCCCCAACACTGTAGGCTGAGAATCACATGGTGAAAGCCACCTCCCCAGAGTTTATTTCTGGGCTATCATAGAGAAGGGACAGGCTACTGTCCTCCTGGGAAGGCCTTACCCACACTAGATTCATCTGTCTGCAGGATGTCTTCGTGTTTGTAGGCACCATTCATGATCCGGGTGGACGAGCTCTCTGGCACTCCATTGGGATAATGTTCTGCTTCCATCTCCATCTCGCTGTCACTGAGAAAGAGGGAGGAAAGGACGTTGGCCAAGACAGGTCAGGAAAGAAAAGATGCTTGGACGTGGCTGGGGTTCCCCACAGAGCTGCCCTCCTGAAGCCCAGCCCTGAGCTCCTGTGGTAAGTCAGGCAGCTTTCCAGGTAGTCTTCACTTTCAAGATTGGACAATCATCTCCGCCTATCACTTTAATTTAATTTCAATTCAAACCAACTTGCCCAGTATACCATGATGGGCTGGGGCCTAATTTCTCCATCTCCTACCACTCTGCTCTCCCAATTCTCTCTTCTCTCCTTCCATCCCCATCCTCACATCAACCAATGGCTAATCCTCCTTCTATAATCAGAGGCCTACAGAATCATATGATTTAGAGCCAGAAGGGATCTTGGAGATCACCTACTCAAATGCCTTCATTTCTGCTGAGGAGGAAACAGGGCCATATAGGAGAAGGTTAGAAAGATATTAAATAGTAGAGTGAGTATTTGAATTCAGGTCTTTGTGACTCCAAAGTCAATGTTCTTTTCATGAAACCCTAACTCCCTCTGGCATCCTTTGAAGCTGGCACCTAACCGCAATTTTTCTCTCCATCCCCTTAGAATGACCATTTTCTGATTCCTTCTTCTTTCCTTAAGTGTCCTTTTCTCCCTGAGTCTCCATGCACTAAAGCATGAAGATGGAATTCCTCTTAAGCTGAATCCTACAGGACCCCTAAGAGGTCCTCTCCAGTCCTCTGGCTACTCCAGGTGGACCTCAGGGCCTTTGTCAGCTTTGGTAGAAGTGGCCATGTTGGTGACAGCAGGGAGAAAAGGCTTAACCAGGACAGAGAAACCTTGAGTCTCTGATGGGTAAGTGGAGAGACACCAGTTCCAGCATCATAATGACTAGAGCACCTTGTTTATATTAGTACCTGCCCTGGACATGGGGCTGGGCCTTACAGAGGTCTAAGCTAAGTTGGCATTGATTCTATTCCACAGCCTCATTCACAGGCCACTGAACCCAAGGAATTGCCTGGGGCTGTCTTCTCCCCACCTCTAGCTCAGATCTAGTCTAGCCCAGCCAAGCAGTGGTCCCAAGTGATCAGTGTTCTTGTGTATTTGGTCATCCTAAGAGTCCTGTCCCTTTCAGCAGCATTAACCACGGAGCCCAGAAAGGCCCTATAAGCTAAAAGGAACATTCTCCTGCATCATACAATGGAATTGTCAACAGTATATGGTGGGTAGTGGAGAGAGCTGAAAGGAATAAGAGAGCTTGCTGCTCCCCATGGGCCCAAGGGTAGGAGAATTCCTGAGGCCTGGAGGTAAATGACTTAAGGCAGAGCCTTGTCTGGGAGAGAGGAAAGCATCAACAAAGCTGACCGAAGGGCTCAAAGCTTAGGCTCTGATCGCTCCTAGGGAGTGAGGGGGACTGACTGTGCAGGGATGGTGGGGATGAGGGGAGAAGAGGAGGACAGGGTGGCACTGCCAGGGGCAAGGCCCTCAGGTGGGCACCGCTGCTGAGCTGGGGCCTGCCCGAGAACAAAGCAGGGAAATGTGGTACCTGGTCTCTTGGTTACTTGTACTACTGTGCTGCTGGGATTTGGTGGAGTCTGTGGAGTTGGACTCAGAGTAGTTGACTGACGAAGGGGAGGAGGAGGACGACGACGACGAGGAGGAGCTCAGGGCTGGGTATTTACTGTGACTCTGTTTGCTTTTGGTGGATGTGACCCCGTTGCTACAGCTTGGGCTTTCTGCTCCTGAAAGCCAAGAGAACAGAGTCAAAGGCTGGATGGGCGGCAAGAGAGTGGCAATGCGACCGAGTGATTCCCCTCCCTGCCGGCACGGGAGCATGCGCCCAGAAAGAGACACAGAGAGAGAGAGGGTCCCCAGAGACCTCCTTGCCAGGGTGCTAAAACCTGTGGAATACTGATTTCCTCAGTGCCACAGCACAAGAGACTGGACAGCACTGTGAGAGACACTTGGGTCTTACTCTTGGACATATGTTGGCAAGTTGTCTTCACTCCAGGTGCTCTGAGAACTGAGGCTTCCCTAGTGGAATCTTCCTTGGAAGGGAACCTCACGCAGTGGGACAGAGACTTTTTTCTAGGTTTAGGGCTCCAATAAAACCAGTAACATCACTGCTGCTCAGGCATTTCCTGTCCAGCAGCATCCCTGCCAAGACTTCATGTAAAGCAGATACATCTAGCTCCATCCCTGGTCAAGGAATTCTGCAATCCCTCCCTTCTTCTAAAAGTCGCTCCAGGGAGCATGCAGGAAACTAGCCTCATCAGCCTCTGCTTTTAAAATCCTTCTCCAAACCTGTTCTCCTACCTCCCCAAGAGTATCCATGCTCCGTTTCACGTCTATACCCAACCCAGGCACTCTTGTACACTCGACGTCTGCCTTCCTACATTGTACTTTGGATCAGCAAGCCATCAAGGACCCCAGTAATCAGAGACAGGTCTCTAACAGGGCCTGGTCCTGGGAGATAATTAGTCACAGTCTTCACCCAGAAGCCTAAAGAACAGTCCCATACGAGCAAGAATGGCAACAGTTCAGATTTCTCTAGTGTTTTAGGATTTATGAAGAGATTTTTTTCAAACCAATTTTGTGAAGTAGGTAGTTCAAGTGTCATTATCCTCATAAGGAAAACAAGGTTCAGAAAGGTTCAGGGTTTGCCCAGGCTCACACAACTATGGAGTGGTGGAGTCTGGCTGGAGTCAGCAACACTCCTAAAAAAGGGATCAGGTCCAAATCTGGGCCAAGAGTTTCTGACAAAAGATTCATTCTTGCTTTTCATCGTGCCCTCTAGCACAGACGTCAGAAGCAGGGGCTTACCAGTGCTGTGCAGATGGGAATTGCTGGGTCCATGTCTAGGGCTGAGGCTGGGGGACCCTGGGTAGCTGTCTTGGGATTTGGGGCTTCGAGCACTGAAACAGCGAACCTCACTGTCTGTTCCGTTCACCATCTCCACAAACTGCCGGCACCTGGGGGGAGGGGGCGAGTCAGAGAAGGAGCAGAGGGAAAATGCTTTAAGTAAATACTATGGTCTGTTCCATAAGTATCTGTCAGAGCTACAGCCAACAGGAGGGCCAGACACCTCAGACTGCACGGGGGCTGCCAACTTACTTCAACATGAAGAGCAGGTTGGGGTTGTGCTCCAGGAGACCAGGGTAGAGCTGCTGGGTGGCCTCGATGGCCTCTCCCACTCGGCCTGCCAGCATAAGCTTTTGTATTCCTAGAGGGAAGAACGTAGCAGTCAGGACTCCAATGGCAAAAGAGAAATACATTTCAGTACCCTGACCACTGAGCATTTCTCAGTGCTTAAGAAACTAATTCAACAACCACTAATTAAAGAATCTGCAAATGGGCAAGGTCTTATGCCTGGTACTGGAGATATAAAGACATGGCACAAATCCTGCCCCTGCCTTCAGGAAGTTTATGATCTAAGGCACAGGGAAGAGATAGAGATCCCAAATAATAAAGATCTAAGGGAGACCAAGAGTAAAGGAAAGACAGAGGCAAAGTAGAAGAAATCTGAGGAAGGAGTGAGGGAGAGAGAGGGAGAGAGAGAGAGAGAGAAGAGAGAGAGAGAGAGAGAGAGAGAGAGAGAGAAGAGAGACAGAGAGAGACAGAGACACTTAGGGAGTGTCTGCATCTCACTGGGCCATGAAGAAAAGGAGGGATTTCAAGAGGCAAAGACGAAAGAAACCTGGTGCAGGGTAGAGGGTGGAGGAAGCAGAGGCACAAGCGAGAGACAGACAGGCCTGTCAGGACAAACCCACAGGATGTGGAGGCCCGTCTCACAGAAATGTAGAGTCTGTGCAGAGGAAGAGAAGATGACAGAGCCAGAAGGTCTGAAGCCAACCCTGACTGGCCCTATGTGCCAGGATTTCTTATTTTACTCAACACTCAGTGGGGAGCCAGGGAAGTCTACTAACTGGAGGAGTGAGAAGATCTGGAAGGGACCTTGGCAATCACCCAGTATGAGCTTCTCAGGTCACACAGGAGGACACAGAGGAGAAATCACTTGCCCACAGTTCCACCATGAGATCATCAATTCGGAGGGCAAAGGACTCCAGGGGCTGCTAAGTCCAATTCCCTCCTTTTACAGATAAGGAATATGGGGGCCCAGAGAGCAGGGTCACACAGGACAGGATTAAAGCCCAAATCTTGTGACTCCAAGTCTAGTGCTCTGTCCCCGAGGACACGCAGAGCCAGGTTCTGAACCCACGTCTTCTGATGGCAGATATCTGGTGCTTCTTCCAACACTGCTTTGACTTCATAGTGGGGGAGGAAGAGATTAATTAGAAAGGAAAAGAGCCTGGTGTGAGGAAGACTGGTTGGCAGATTCCAGCAGCCTGGCCACCAAGGACTTAGGCTCTGGTGAGAAGATGTTCAATGCCATGTCAGTGCTGTCCAGCCCACTGATCTGCAGCATGAAGAAAGCTGGGCAAGATGGTGAAGCCACAGGAAGCCAGGCAGCAGGACCAGCCTGCTATGAAGCCAGAAGGGACTGGGGCAAATTCACTGAGGTAGAATTCTGCTGTGAATTCCCCCTCATTCTGCAAATGGCCAAGGAATCTTTGTTTCTTTCAATATTAAATTATTAAAAATTAAACTTTTAACATCAATATTGCATAGTAACTTTTTACATTTAAACTCCTTCATTCCAATGCCTAAGATATCCTAACTTTTCCATCTCTCCCTCTAAGTCCCCATCAGGATTCATTCTCATTCCCTTTTAACTCTTTATATCTGTAGAACATTTGGGCTTTTGGGGCTGTTTTTTCATGAAGCATTGTTTCATGCAAATAGGGTCTTTCCATATTTCTTTTGTATTCTCCTAACTTACTGATCTCAAGTTTCCACTAGAGTAATCCCTTAAGTTACTGTACCATAATTTGACCACTTTCCTAGTGTTGAAATTTCACATTGTTTCAACAGATAGTGTTTTTTTGTTCTTGGTCATTTTTTTTTTAAGTGAGGCAATTGGGGTTAAGTGACTTGCCCAGAGTCACACAGATAGTGAGGGCTATGTGTCTGAGGCCAGATTTGAACTCAGGTCCTCCTGACTTCAGGGCCGGTGCTCTCCACTGTGCCACTGAGCTGCCCTGTTTTCAGTCATTCTTGAAGGGTACATTCCTGCATGGAATTATGGGTTTTGCATCTTCTAGTATATACTGCTAGACTGCACTCCACAAAGATCTTACATGTTTCTAATTCTGCCCCAAAGAATGAGAATAGCTGTTCTCTGCAACTCTGGCCAGCTGTTTCGCTGCTTTTCATTATTTTTGCTCATTTAAGGGGTGAAGTGGCATCTCAAGGCTGTTTTAACTGACATCTCTGCACTTCCTGAGGTTGAGCATTTTTTCAAGTGATTGTTAGAAGTTCAAATTTTCTCTTCTGACCCTGTCTGTCTGTTCCTATCCTCTGGCCTTTTCTGCATTGTGAAAGGGCACTCAGGAATTTTTAAGGGTAGATGAGAAAAAACTAGAAGCTAAGTCTCAGTGAAAAGGCAGGAAAGCAGGCTTTGGTGCCTGTTCTTGGGGAGTACTTTCACTGTGCTGAAAGCACTCCAGACTCTGAGAAATCAGGAAATGGTCATGGGAGGCTCCTCAGGACCTAAGGGCAAAGTAGGGGAACCAGGACAAAGGAATCCACTGTATCTTGGTGCTAATCTCAACTCTACCATAGGCAGAAGGCATAATTCACCTCGCTAGGTTCTAGAGTAGAACTGGACAGAGGAGTCCCAAGATCCCCCAGCCCCAGAGTCATGATTTTATGAAGCCCAGTTCAGACATTCATTACAAGTGTGGTTACAGACCAGTCACCCATGCCTCATTTTCCTCATCTGTAAAATGGAGACAGAATTCTCCCATCACCTACTGCACTGATGGTTGTGAGAGCAGTGCTCTGTAAATCTTAGAGACTGGAGACATGCAAACTGCTACTGTAATTATTCAAATCATTCAAATGATTGTAATTATTCAAATCATTTAAACCCACGGACCACAAGTCTCAGGGTGTGGTAGTGGGGCATTCTCTGACTACCACACTTCTCTCCACAAGTTTGGGGGGTTGTGTCTGCCCCCCTTCCCTCTCTCTTATCCCCAAATCTCTGATTTTCTCAGTCTTTGCACTGCTACATTTCATTCTTGACTCTATTTTTTATCTGCCTGCACGAAAGCTATCTCTGGTTCAGTCTTTCTCAGGTGCAGGTCCCATGTTGGGACTGCCTATCTGGTTGAGTGTTTGCTTTTCTGGGAGACACAAACACAGATATATATACAAATACCAACAGGTTCAGAGACAAGTATAGAGACAACCGCCCACCCACACTATTTTCTCTTTTTCCTTTCTTTCCTCTGTCAGGGGGAACCTGAGAAAAACGAAAATACATCGGCAGGGCCACGTGGGAGTTCTTCACCTTTCTAACATTCATTTTCTATGGTCGATCCTCTAGACTGACTGTATAACTGGAACATTTTGCTATGACCAGCAATATAGGGAAGAACAGGGCCCTGCCAACTCTGAGCTCTTGGTGGGTCTTTTAGGGCTGGCCAGCCAGGACCCTCCTTGGGCCCCATGGAAGGCAGGGAGGTCGAAGAGAGGAAGGCACTGCCCTCTCTCAGGCTGCTGAGCAACAGGCCCTTAAACAGGCCTGAGACCTGCAGCCCTTTCTTCCAGCACCAACATGAACAGCTGCTTGATAAAGTGAGGATGGAAGGCCTCTAAGAAAGAAGCTGGTGACTCAGATGTCACAGTGATCCGACTGAGACAACGAAGCTCAATGGGACTCAAGTTCACAGAGCAGGCTCTGAACCTAAGCTTGCCAAGGCTCTGTGTCCTAGGCCAGCAACCAGCGTGATGGATAAAGTGAGCTTTGTCCTCATCAAGAAAAGAATCAGTCCCATAGCACCTGGCTAAAGAGAATGGCTAGGCTGGAGCAGAAGGTCTCTAAAGACCTCCTGGTCAAGGAAAAGGGGATGGTTAGAGCTGGTGGGCTGAGCAGCTCCATTGAGCTGCCCCCCCCCCCCAGCAGAGGCCCCACCAAGAGGAGGAACAAAGCTTTGAGCTTCAGGGTTCTGATGGCCTCCCAATCAGGCTAAGGCTAGCATCAGTGAACCCGAGGAGAAAAAGAAGGTCTCAGGTGGGGAGAACACAGAGCAGTGGGGAGGAGGGCGGGAGGCTGAAGAAGGAGGCTTGGTCTTACTTTGTCTGTTCTTGATAGAAGCCTGTTCTTCCTGAATCGTGGTTTCTGTCATACGGGCAAAAGCTGTAGCAGTAGCACAATACCCATGATGCACCAGGTAGGAAGAGACCATGCTAAAAAAGACAGAAAAATAGGGACATTCAAAAAAGGAACTCTGCAAAATAGGATGTGACTGGAAATACCATTTTTTTGAACTGTGCTCCTCATTCAAGCTTCCCCCAAAATGAACCCATGATGGAGGCTCTGGACATACAGCTGTTACTGGTGTACTGAAAAAGGACCCAAGCACTTTAATTCAGCTCATGAAGAAGAAAAGAACCCTGGGCTACCAGTCAGGAGACCTGGGTTCAAATCCGAGCTCAGCTACTGGAGCCCCATTCTTCTCTATAAAATGAGGGTAGGACTAGATCAAGAGTTTCTGACCCAGGTTCTAAGCTTATTTTTAAGAAACTTTTAATAACTGTATTTCAATATAATTGGCTTCCTTTACAATCCTACATATTTTATTTTGTCAATTTAAAAACAGTATTCTGAGATGGGGTCCCTAGGCTTCACCAGCCAGCCAGAGGAATGTGCGACACAAAAAAGGATAAGAATCTTTGGACTAGAACAGAAGCAAATGCAAGTCAGGGAAGTGGGTATGGAGCCCAAGATCCTGGGCCTCCTCCTTGCTCCCCGAGACCTGGGGCAAGACCTTCACCTTCCTAAGCTAGGCTCCTCCTCTGTGAGATGACCTTTAAGGTTCTTCAGCCTATATCTGCCTGCTTCCAAGGCTCCTTCTAGTTCTAACACTCTATGACCGTTCTCCATCCAAACCACTGGGTTTGGCAACAATAGGTGCTGGAAGGGAGAGGATGGCCAGAGTCTGAGATGAGGCAGGCGGCTAATCATGGTGGATGCACTGCCTGGTGCTCATTAGTACCATCTTCTCAGGCACACTTACAAAGCTAAGAAACTGCTCTAGGAGCAGCTTCCTTGAGGAACCTCAGGGACATCAGCAACCAGAAAGAGCGCTAATTTCTTTGCTGTGTACTTCCTGAAATGGCACTGAGAAGCAGCCTTGCTATACTTTAGCTTGAGAAAGACTGCAGTGCAAGCATTTTTTCAGGAGATACTAGAATCTTTCCTCTCACTGCCCCATAATGGGCCAGGCTGGCTGTGCTGATTTCTTGCAGACACATCACTCTCATTAGGCTGTATTAAACCTTCAGAAATGCTGGCTCTGCCCCTATCTGAGAAACCATCTACTCTGCTTGTCACTGAGCAAGAGCTGTGGGAAGGAGAGTTCAAGCTAGATCTTCTAAGACCAATCACTAAACCTACAGGAGAGAAGAAAGTTGGGTGAGATGAACAGCTTCAAAAGGCGACTCAGTGAGAAGCTACATTCCCAAGTCTGCTTCACCTCCAGAGGGGCTGTGAAAAGCCAAACAGGGCTACATATATGCCTCACACATGTGCAAATATGCATATGTACGCTATATCTGTGCGAGCACTCAGATATACCTCTGTAGGCCTTTCTATTCATACCGATGTGTGTAAAGTATTAGAATGAGTTCAAGAATTTAAAGGAATGTTATGTGGAAAAGGGCAGAATGACGACCAATACGTGGACCTTATAAAGGATAAGAGACTGTGAGGTGTAATGGAGAGAGAGCTGGACCTGGAGTCAGCAGACATGAGTCTGAATCCTAACTCTGAAACCTATTAGCTCTGTGACCAAGGACACAGAAGCTCATGGGCAAAATGAGAATAATAGTACTTGTGAATTAGGTCGTTATAAGGAACATGCCTTATAAATCTTAAAGTACTACAGAAATGGGAACTACAACTCTTATTATTCAACTCAGCATAACAAAGAGAACTTTTTAACAATCAGGACTGACACTGGATGCTTTGTTAGGTCGTGAGTTCCTCATCACTAGAAAGATTCAAACACAGGCTGGATGACAGCTGGCAGAGAAGCAGAGTGGGAGGACCCAGACTCCTGTACTGGGAGGGACACTGGATCTGATGACCTCCCTCTAAGAGTCTCTGGTTCTCCAAGTGCAGGCATGTGTAAGTTTGTGGGCATTCTTATGCAGGCCTGTGCCCATGAGCATATGTCTCTGTTTATGAGTATATACCGGCTCCTTTCTTACAGATCGACTCCCTTCAAATGACAGCACCTTTACTCAGTTTTCCCTACTCAAGCTGGCTTCCAGAAATCCAGCAGCCAAACACTTTATATGGAAACATTTTATTAGTGACTTTTGGGTTGAGGGAGCTAGTTCAGTGTGGCTTGGAATAACCATGTTCACTCTGTGCAGAAACAGACTTATTGCCAAAGGCAAACGGCAGACAGAAGACTACAGGTTCAGTAATTGGGTTTTCTTTATTTTCATGTTTCTCTCTATTAAAACAAATGAGTCCTTGGATTCCACTCAGACAACCCTGCGGGCAAAGCATTTATCAAGGGATTGAGTTGTGTGGGTGGGTGTGGGTGTGTATGTGTGGGCACACAGGCTACTGAATTCCCCACCCAGCAAAACAAGGCAGGACAGGAGATGGCCTGATGCCCCTCACATCTGAACTCTCAGGACACAAGGAGGTTTTTCTAAGGCTCAGCCTCCTCTCCTCAACACCAAGAATGAGTCCATCTTCTCTAACGAACATCACTGTTTGGAAGGGAACAAAAACGCTCTCATTTACATTATGAAATGCAAAATGGATAATTTTGATTACATTAAATTGAAAAGTTTTTGCACAAACAAAGCCAATGCAACCAAGATTAGGAGGGAAGCAGAAAACTGGGAAAGAATTTTTACAACCAGTGTCTCTAATAAGGGCCTCATTTCTAAAACATATAGAGAACTGAGTCAAATTTACAAGAATACATGTCATTCTCCAATTGATAAATGGTCAAAGGATAAGAACAGGCAGTTTTTAGATGAAGAAATTAAAGCTCCCTATAGTCATATGAAACAATGCTCTAAATCACTATTGATTAGAAAATTACAAATCAAAACAACTCTGAGGTACCACCTCACACCTATCAGATTGGCCAACATGACAAAACAGGACAATGATAAATGCTGGAGAAGATGTGGGAAAATTGGAACAATAATGTATTATTGTTGGTGGAGTTGTGAACTGATCCAACCATTTTGGAGAGCAATTTGGAACTATGCCCAAAGGGCTATAAAAATGTACATACCCTTTAACCCAGCAATAGCACTTCTAGGGCTGTATCCCAAAGAGATCGTAAAAATGGGAAAAGGACCCACATGTACAAAAATATTTATAGCAGTTCTTTCCGTGGTAGTAAAGAATTGGAAATTGAGGGAATGCCCATCAATTGGAGAATGGCTGAACAAGCTGTGGTATATGAATGTAATGGAATACCATTGTGCTATAAGAAATGATGAGAAGGAAAAAAAAAAGAAGAAATGATGAGCAAGCAGACTTCAAAAAAATCTGGGAAGACTTGTATGAACTGATGCTGAGTGAAGTGAGCAGAACCAGAACTTTATACACAGTAACAGCCATGTTGTGTGATGACTAACTTTGACAGACTTAGCTCTTCTCAGCAAATTCAAGGATCTAAGACATCTCCAAAAGTCTCATGATGGAAAATGCTATCTATATCCAGAGAAAAAACTATGGAGTTGGAATGCAGATCAAAACATACTCTTTTTTTTCCTCTTCTGTTTTGTTTTCTCTTTCTTGTGGTTCTTCCTTTTGGTTCTAATACTTCCTTACAACATCACTAATGTGAAAATATGTTTAGTAGGAATGTATATGTAGAGCCTATATCAGCTTGCATGCTGTCTTGAGGAGGGAGGTGGGAAGAGAGGGGGAGAAAATTTAAAACTCAAAAGCTTATGGAAGTGAATGTCGAAAACTAAAAATAAATTAATACAATTTTTTTAAATGGGGAAAAAAATGCTTTCATTTTTACAGAGCTTGGAGGTTTACAAGGTCCTTTCCCCACAACCACCCTGTGAGGGAGTTAACCCAAGTATTATTACATTCCTTTGGCAGAAGTTGAGGGGTGAAGCTCTCTACACAGTCACCTAGAGAGGCAGTGAGTGTCAGAGCCAAGAGAAAAGGAACAAGCACAGGGGACTCTGACCAGTGGGGACTTTATCCCCAGTCCCTGGTCAGATCTAGGTCCACTCACCAGGCTCATGCAACACCTTCAGCAGCTTCAAACAAAAGGGGGAGCTCTAGATGATAATAGCTGCTTATCAGCTACTGGAGGCTGCCATAATACCCCAAGGAGATCAAAAGAACCTTCAGCTGCTTTTTTAAATGTGAAGTCAAACAGGGCTCAGGAGTTCGCTGCTGGCATCGTCCCCTCTAAGGCCCTAGGGTGAGGCCCTCCACTTCTGCCACAAAACCCGGAGACAATGAGTTCACATAGCTATTGAATGTGAAGACTCAAGTCACTGACTAGGACAACTAAACCCTTTCCTTCTTAGCCTAACCTGTAGGAATGGTAAAAGACTGGAGAAGTTAGGATGAACATGCACATGGGGAGAAAATGTGGCGCAGAAGAGGGAAGTGACTTTGCCAAAATCACTCTCTAAAACAGAGAGTGGAGCTCCGAATCAAGCTGAGATCATGTGCCTTCCCCTAAAGCTTCATCATCCAATCACAATTACTGCTCCAAAGACTTTAAGGGTCAGTTAAAGGTATGACACAGCTAACTAGGCAGCCTGGGCCAGAGCCTGCTGTGCCCCGACATTGGCTAGATTTCTAATGTACAATAAGAACAAAGTCTCTTTTACTATTTTGCTAGATGCTAGAAAGATCCGGTCTCAGACAGATAGTCTTCAGATGCAGGTTGGGGCTTCACAGAGTCTTACAGGAGAAAGAAGCCAAAGACAGCACCAGAACATCCTTTCTCCTCTCCTCAACCCCTACCACAAACAGGATCCAAATACCAACAGGGGCCCCCTTTGGGCCAAATTCAGCCCAAAGCTCCTTCATAATTTGAGCCATTACCTGGGGATTCTAGGAGCAAACAGCTTGGCCAAAGTAAAAGAAAGCCCAGGATGGTGGTAGGCCCAAGTTTTGTCCTTGAGACCAAACCAACTGAAAGCTAGAATCTTAAGAGCCCAAGAGGCACTGCCCCTTAAGTTGTGGTGATGAAAACAGAGATGAGGAGGTTTGGGGATGGGGGCTTGGTAGGGATGATATGGGAGCAGCTGGCTGGGGCCACAAAAGGATCAGGGAACTCACTTCTGCAGCATGGCTTGCCACTCCCCAAGCCTGTCACCGATGGGAAAACGCTTAATGGTTCCCTGAATCTTTGCTCTCCATTCCCTCATGTAGTCCTCAATGTCAAACACAAAGGGTTGCTGCCCAAAGTTGGCGTCTACGATCTCCCCAGGAGTCTGCAAGCCCACTGTGGGGTATAAGTTGGCCTGGAAAGAAAAAGAAACATTGGTTAGAAAATTAGCCTCGTGGGAGAACAAAGCAGGCCAATACTACCAGGAATGGGGTTAGGTGGGTTGGGGTGGATTAGTGACCGGGGGAGGGGGGAGTGGCGGAAGGTGTCTTAACTGAGCCATGGAGCTAGAAGAAGACAGTTCATTTCAGGAGAGCCTTTGGGTTGCCTTGGGGTGACCAGCCTGAAGGCAGGATGGGGTGGGCTACACCTAGAACACATGAGGTACTTAAGCCCTACTTCCTGAAGTGCTTAGTCACCTCACTAGGACAACAAGGAGAGGGAAAGAGCTCCAAGGGAGAAGGTCCATGGGGGAGACCTATTGGACTCTAGTCCAGATTCTCTCTGGCATTAGTCCTTCCTCTCACTCCAGCATGCTAAGACTCTCCCGGATGGGGAAAACTCCAGGGAGCTGTATTGGCCTAATAAGACCAGCTGGTCATGCTGACCAGCACTCAATAAAGTGCCACAAATCAGAAAGCCAACAGCAATAACCTCTTCTCTAGGCCTCAGTTTCCTCACATGTAAAATGAAGGGATTGGACTAGACGATTAGAATGGTTTCTTTGCACTCTAGATTCTATGATGCCATGAAGGGGGAAAGGAAAGCATAATTTAGCCAGAGAAGGAAGTGAACACTCAGAATCATGAGCCCCTCTCCTAGCCCTAACTTCTCAGGGATCTCAAGCACACTGGATCCCCAAGTTAGCTCGGAGGATCCCACTGGATGAAAGAGTCCCTAGAAGGTATGGGAGGTGGAGGATGAGAAGAAAAAGAGGAAAAGTTGAATAGCAGCACATTCTTACCCCACATCTAAACTCCAGACTGATTGGGAAAAGAAGTGAGAATGTCTATCGGTGCTCAACCCAGTCTTACTTATTCAACCATCTCCTTGCTATTCTGGGATTTGAGAATCTCCTGTCTGATAAATGGGGTCCACCTCCAAGACCCAGTCTTAAGATGCTATCCACAGTGACAGTTTCCATCCCTATGCTGATGTCTAGAAAATCTGCATTTATGGCTCAGATGACCCACCTGAGAGTCATTCCTGTTTCCATTCGCTTATAGAGCATCTTTACTGAGCCAAATCACTTCACACCAAGATCACTACAATAGCCTCCAAATTCTCTCCCCTCTAATCTTTTTGAAAGATTTTAGTCAGACTAGTCTTCTTAAAACAAACCTTTTTTTTTTTGAGGCAATTGGGGTCAAGTGACTTGCCCAGGGTTACACAGCTAGTAAGTGTCCTGTCCTCCTGAATCCAAGGCCAAAGCTTTATCCACTGCGCCACCTAGCTGCCCCAAAACAAACCTTTTATCAGCTCAAAAACTTTCAATACCTCCTTACTGTCTATCAGATGAAGCCCAAACTCCTTAGCTAGGCATTAAAGGGCCTTTGTCAAGGGCCATCTCTACTTTCTCAAAATTTGTGACATTTCTCCTCATGAGAATTTGCTGCTATAGCCAGACCTACTTAATTTCTCCAAACTGTGTTCACTCTTAGACTGTGCTTTTCTTCTTGTTACTGACTCCAGGAAAAATGCCTTTCTCTTTCTTTTTTTTTTTTTGGCTAGGCAATGGGGTTAAGTGACTTGTCCAGGGTCACAGCTAGTGTCAAGTGTCTGGGGCCGGATTTGAACTCAGGTCCTCCTGACTCTAGGGCCGGTGCTCTTAGATGCCCCTCTCCTTCTTCTTTATCAATCTAATTCTACTGCTTCCATCAAGGCCCATCTCAGAATCTACAAGCCCCATGAAACTTTCAAGTACAACAAGTCCACAGCGCTCTTTCCAGCCTATGAACCCCTATGGCACTTGTCATTGGGACCATACATCACAACACTGAATTCTATTTATCTTACACAAATTCTCTAGTCTAACATCTATTAGGCATTGTTTGCTTCCTGCCACTCCCTATCAGATTGCAAATCGCACACACCCAGTGCCTTCTATTCTTCTGTCACCTCCATGATAGCCTCTTTACCAAAACTGAAGGAATGTGTGCCAATTTGACTTAAGAAGACCCTGGAATGAATGGGCTGTCTCCACTCACAAGGCAGTAAACCAACAGTGAAAAGCAAGTAATAATAAAAAAAGTAAAATTAAAAGAAAAAAGTAAAACAATCTCTGCTAGGCTACTAATAATAACTGTCTGGCCTTGAGCAATTCCCTTTACTTCCTTGGGCCGTGGGTTTCTCATTTTTAAATTGAGGGAGCTGGATCAGCTCTTAACATCCTGGCATCTTACTGATGGATGAAACTTAAGAAACTAGGGAAGAGATATGGGAGAATGAAAATAAACACGCTCTTTTGGGGACAACCAAGGTGAAAGCAGTGAGCTCTCCTCCCTTCCTAAGACTTCTTCCCTGCTCATTCTTCACCTAAAATCAATATTCTTTTTACAAACAGCATGATGGTTTCTATGCCAACTAGCCAGGCAGTTCCAATGGGACTCAGGAGAACAGAGCAACTTCATAAATCAAACTGAGGCTGAGGGGCGGGGTCTTTGAAGGTCATAGCAACGACAGCCACAGTGCAATCTGTTTAAACAAGTAGTAGGATCCAGGAAGGCTTAGTTCAATGCTAGAGACAAAGAAAAAGTAAGTTCCTTTTTTGGCTTCTGTCTTATCATTAGTAGGTTAGTCAAGTCAACTCCCTTGTTGCTTCCTAGAAGAACAGAGGGATCCTTTCCCAAGAGCCCTGACAGAAGCATTCACCAAAAGAAAGGAAAGCTACCTAATCCAACTCATTGGTAATCCAATTTCTTTTCCTTCTCAAACTACCTACTTCTGGAGAATATTTGGCAATCAACAAATATTTACTGAAGCCTATTGCTGGGGGGAGGGGGAAACACACAAGAAAGGCAAAATTTATTCTCTGTTCCCAGTGGATTACAATGACAATTTTGTTTAGAGTGAAGTAGTTGTAAATAAGGCAGGAGAAGTAAGCCCCAGCCATACTGTCAAGGTCCCGCCTTCCTGCAGCCAAGGCTCTTGCATCCCCTGTTCTCTCAACTCGAAGGAGTCTCAATCTTCCTTGCTCCTCTCTGTTGTTTCCAGACCACCATTTCACCAAGTTCATTTGACCATCCCACCGGTTTACATAATCCTTTCCCAAGCTTCCCTGCTAGCCTCTACTCCATGCTCCCATTTCTTCAGCTCTTGGTTGACAGCCTTTCCGTGCACCCTGTCTCTCACCATTACTTATGTGATGCTAACAAATGTATACAGACTTCTCAGTTCCTATCACGTGTATTCCACTTCAGCTCTACTCTAGTGTGGCTCTGTCTTCTGCATTCTTATTCCTGGGATTATTCCAAGATGTCCAAACCTGAAATGCCCTCTGACCACAAACCCCTTTCTGTCTCTCCATGCTAGACCCTCACACCTCTATGAAACCTTTCCTGCCTCACCATTCAGGATGAAGCCCCGCTTTCAGCCATGACTCTCATCTTTTCAGCTGTGCCTACATCTCTTCCATGAAATAAGAAGATTTTCTCTTCTCTGACCTCCTTCTTCTCTTGCCAAGTTGGAATGAATCTGGTTCACAATGCTTTGCTCAACACTCAACAATACTTAGAATGACCATATGGGACTTTATCACTTTCTACTTTGTTATTTGATAGTCTTGTCTTATCTCCTTCACTCCATCCTAAGCTCCTTGTCCCCACCTTAGTATTAGTACACAGTAGGGATCAATGACATTTTTTGAATAATTGAGTCCAAAGCCACTCAGAAGAATTTACTATCTAGCGGGCAAGAGGTTTTCAGCAAGCTAGTGAGTTGGGATGAGGAGGAGGGAAAGAGGTCTGGATATTCTTGCTGGTGGGGGAAAGTAGGAATATGGAAGGTAACAATAAAGGAGGAGGAGTGGGTACAAATTGGTAAATCTGACTTCTGCTAGTGATTATTTCTCCCAATACCTCTTTCTACCATTCCAACAAACTCAGAGTTGGCCAGGAACTTTTATGCAAAAAAAAATTTTGATTGGTAACGACTGTCTTTGGCAGGGACAGTATCTAGGAGGTGAGGCAGAACATAGATATCACTCACCCCCTCAAAGAGGAGAGAAAGACCAGTGCTTCTGTCAAAGCCCTAGTATACCTGAGACTGCATATCCCTCTGAACTACTCCCCTTTTCCTTTCTGTCCTATTTCCTTAAACAAAAGTTAAGAATAATGAACATGGAAGGTCAGAGTGTGCCTCCTATGCCAAGCTTGGTACAGCAGAACTCAAGCCCTTCCAGGTACTTGTGATCTCCAACCTTTCTCTCTGAAATGCGGGCAACCACTGGCTCTTTCACTGAGGCTGACCTTGGCTACATGCTGTGATAAATCCACTGACATGAAGGTATAAATAACTAATAGACTTCAGGCTGAACTTTCCTACGGAGGTATTGAAAAGCAGTTACTGAAGAAGTTGCCAAATGGTGGAAAGTCTTGGGAGGTGGGGGGGAGTTAGAGGAATGGTAGTATTCAGGACTTTTTCCCCTCTTCTGGACAAGCTGTACCTTACCCTAAACCAGTCTGATAGACAGTAAAACACAGGGAATTTAGCACTATTTAGTGGTAAGCAGCTACATATCCCTCCAGACAAGCCCTTGCTCACCTTTGTAAGTGGCTCTGCACTCCATGAGGCTTACTAAAAACAAAGCAGATGTACGTTGGAACAGCCAATGTTTCAGAACCCCTGTGTTTGACAGAGGTAACTCTATGTTTCACAGCATGATGGAGATCTGCCCCATGGCACAGCAACATAAGAGGCTGGGTGAACAGACAGCATTTCGACCTCAAATCACCGGCCCTCTCTACCTGCAGGTGTGAATCCCCCCCTCCTCCCATACCATTTGTCAGAAAACAAAGAAAGGTTGGTACTTACCGGGAGGTCTGTAAAAGCTATACCTGCAAGGAAGGAATGAGAATCATTAAACAGAAGCTTGAGGGAAGGAGGAGACACTGACCTGAGGTACACACACACACACACACACACACACACACACACACACACACACACACACACACACACTACTGTGTATCTGTAATTAGTAAAAAAGATGGAGGGGGGAAAGGGGAATTCTAAAATGGGGTCCTCATACTAGTAGTTTGGGAGGGAACAGGAATCTTTCCTGTTCAAGTCTTTCTCCATCTTGTTTTTCAGATACTCGAGAGAATCTCTGCTTCCCTTTATTTCTCCTTATTAACCCTAAATCCAACAAGCAGTTATTAAGTGCCTGGTATTGTTCAAGGTCCTGTTTGCAAAAATGAAAACAGCCTGTGTCCCTAAGGAGGCCCAGGAAATGTAAGCAAATAGGTAAAATGGAGAGAGTGACAGGAGAGAGAACATGCCAACAGGGTAGGGTAGAGGGGATGATGGCAGGAGGCTATGGAAATCAGGGAAGATGACACAGACGAGGTGGCATCTATAAGAAAGATTGAGAATCCAACAGGCAAGGATGAGAAAGAAGGGTATTCCAAGTCTGTGGGAAGGTCTAGGAGGGCAAATCCAGGAGGGCAAAGATGGAAAAACCAGTCATAAGAGGAAAAATATGAAATAAGCTACAAAAGGCAGGTTGGAGACAAACCACAGAAAATCTTAAATCCCTTTATATTTGTATACTGTTCTCCTTATTTTGTTGTTATTCATTCGTTTCAATTGTGTCCAACTCTTTGTGACCCAATTTGGAGTTTTCTTGGCAAGGACACTGAGTGGTTTGCCATTTCTTTCTCCAGCTCATTTTACAGGGGAGGAAAATGAAGCAAACAGGGTTAAGTGACTTGCTCAGGGTCACACAGCTAAGTGTCTGAGGCTAGATTTGAGCTCAGGTCTTTCTGACTTGAGGCCTGGCATTCTATGCACTGTGCCACTTAGCTAAGATTCTGTATTAGTTGATGTCAGTCAGAAGGTTTTTCTTAAAGCTAACCAAAATTATATATGCTTCAGTTTAAAACGCTTTGGTCTTGATACTGGCATGGACAAAAAGAATATGTCTAGATGATAAATTTTAGTTGGGATCCTTGTGGTTTGGTCTCAATTAGCATGTCTTCACCCTTAGCAGATTTGTGAGCCTATCAAAATTCCTGGGAACCCATTTGGAGCCAGCACATACAGAAATGTAGGGTAGGGGTTGTGTGGGGGGAAGTGAGGACTAATTAAGCATGAGATGTTTGTCTGAACTTGTAATAGTAATAACAGAAAGAACTCTAATTTGTTACTGTGCTTTAATGTTTACACAATGCATTCTCCATAACAACTCAACCCCGTGAGGTAAGTAACACTATCATATATACATTCAAGCCTAATCTCCCTCCTAAACTACAACACCAAGTCACCAAGAGCTTTTTGGACATTCTGTCCAAACATCCAATGTCTTACAGGTATCTCAAACTCAAAATGTTTATAAAAACTAATTATTCTTTCCCCCAACTCTCCCCTCCTCTTCCAAACTTCCTTATCACTGTTACCAATTCTCCCAGACCCTCAAGACTCCTCAATTTCTTATCCCCCAAATCCATCCCATCAGTGGCCAAATCTCACTGTTTCTGTTTGCACACCCTCTCTCATTCAACTTCTACCCTAATCAGGCCTTTATCACCTTTCCCCTGAACTATATAATAAAAGCATTTTTCATTTTTTTTGGTATTATCAATTCATTAAAGAAAAGTGAACTTTTTTTTTTAATGGGGGAAGACCATCATAGCTTCATATACTGTGTAACCCCTTTCCCAAGGGGTGGCGTTCTTGTCATCATAAGCTAGTCAGGCCTGATCTAATCCCTCTCTTCTAGAGAGATGGACATTTGATTGTGCTTAGAAGGATTTCTCATTTAAGATACAACACTGAAAACTCCACAGACCATTGCTTTCTTCTACGATACCATTCACAGGATGCTGAACACACTAGGATACTCTGAAAGTATCTAATTGCAATAGCTTTCTAAGGGCAGCTAGGTGATGCAATGGATAGAGAACTCCAGTCCTGGAGTTAAGAAGACCTGAGTTCAAATTCAGCCTTAGAGACTTATTAGTTGTGTGACTCTAGGCAAATCACTTAACCCTGTTTGCCTCAGTTTTCTCATCTGTAAAATGAGCTGGAGAAGGAACTGGCAAACCACTCCAGTATCTCTGCCAAGAAAACCTCCAATGAGCTGGATATGACCCAACAAAGAGTTGGACGTGACTGAAATGACTCAGCAACCACCTCTAGTCCTCCTTACTCCAAACCATCCTCTACTCAGCTGCCAAAATGATTTTCCTCAAGTGGAGGTGTGCTGATCTTATCTTCTACCTCATCCACCCCTCAATCCGCCCTCTACACACTCAGTAGGAACGGCAGTAGCTCCCTATTACCTTTAAGATCCAACATAAATCCTGTTTGGTGTGGCCACTTCCTAGTGCCCCAGTTTTCTTACACTTTCTTCCCTCCACCCACTTGGTGATCCCACAATCCCAATCTACTACTGAGCTACTTTCTGCTCCTCCTGCCTCATGACATCATGCTGGTCATTTATCTCCCATGCCTGGAATTCACTCCCATCTGACCTGTGTCTCTTCGTTTTCTTGCTGTCCTTCAGGACTCAGCTCAAATGCCCCCTTCTGCAGGAGGCTCCTCTCAGTTCTTTCCCCAAGCCATAGGCGGCTTCCTTCTCCTCCAGATATGTTTGAGATATGCTTTTATTTGACTTTAGAATTGTCCAATTTCACTAGAATTAGAATGAAAGCTCTGTGAAGGTAGGGATTGTTTTGTACCTCCAGTGCTCGGCACAGCCCTAGATAAGTGTTTGGTCACTGACTGATCCTACGTGCTTGTGCAGGTGACTTTTTAAAAAATCAAAACACAGGACCCACATGTACAAAAATATTTATAGCAGCTCTTTTTGTGGTGGCAAAAAATTGGAAATTGAGGGGATGCCCGTCAATTGGGGAATGGCTGAATAAGTTGTGGTATATGAATGTAATGGAATACTATTGTGCTATAAGAAATGATGAGCAGGCAGACTTCAGAAAAACCTGGAAAGACTTGTATGGTCTGATGCTGAGTGAAGTGAGCAGAACCAGGAGAACGTCGTACACATTAACGGCCATGTTATGCAATGACTAATGTTGACAGACTTAGCCCTTCTCAGTAATGCAAGGATCTAAGACATCTCCAAAGGTCTCATGATGGAAAATGCTATCCATATCCAAAGAAAGAACTATGGAGTTTGAACGCAGATCAAAGGATACTATTTGCTATTTTTTCTTCTTCTGTTTTGTTTTGTTTCCTCTTTCTTGTGGTTCTTCCTATTGGTCCTAATTCTTCCTTACAATATAACTAATGTGAAAATATGTTTAATAGGAATGCATATGTAAAGCCTATTATCAGATTATGTGCCATCTTGCGGAGAGAGATGGGGAGGGAGGGGGAAAAAATTTAAAACTCAAAAGCATATGGAAATGATTGTTGATAAATCAAAATAAATTAATAAAAAATTTTTAAAAAATCAAAACATAGCACTTGGTATTCACCCTTATTAAATCTGAGCTTGTTAGTCTGGGCTCTTAACTCTAGGCTTTCAGAATCTTTCTGCATTCTGATTTTGTCATCCGGCACATCAGCTCTCCCTCTCTGCCCTGTCTTCTGCATTTAGGCAGCTGATAAAGATGTCCAGCAGGCGGGGACACATGAGGAGGCGCTACAGAACTGCTGTAACTGTGGGTTCCCTATGTCCCTCAAAGTGTTTATAAACAACGTGATGCTACAATGCTGTCTGTCAAGACAACAATGCCAAACTCACTGGTTATGTCATTTTTGAACTTGATCTCTTTGAAAACGAGGCTCATATTTGCCCATCTTCAGTTCATGGACACTTCGTCCAGTTTCCACAACTCCTCAGGGATTACTGACAGCAGTAGTTTAGCTATCATGTCTCCACAGTCTTTTCTTCCCGATATCCTGGGCTATAATCCTACTGGGTAAACACTCTTGAACTCATTTAAAGTAGCTAAGTGCTATTAGTGGAGTTGTGAACTGATCCCACCATTCTGGACAGCATTTTGGAACTATGCCCAAAGAGCTATAAAACTGTGTATACCCTTTGATTCAGCAACACAATTACTAGATCTTGTCCCAAAAAGGCTGAAAAAGGAAAAAGAACCTATCAGCTTTTTTTGTGGTAGCTAAGAACTGGAAACTGAGGGAATGCCCATCAACTGAAGAATAGCTGAATAAGTTGTGGTATATGACTGCAAGGGAATATTAATGTGCTATAAGAAATGACAAGCAGGATGGTTTCAGAAAAAAACTGGAAAGACTTATATGAACTGATACAAATCGAAGTGAGCAGAACCAGAAGAATAATTCTACACAGTAAGAGCAATATTGTTATGATGAAGAACTGTGAATGACTTAGCTATTCTTAGCGACACAATGATCCAAGACAATCCCAAAGGACTCATGATGAAAAATGTTATCCACCTCCAGAAAAAGAACTTTTGTTGTCTGAATACAGACAGACCAAAGCATGCTATTTTTCAATTTCTTTCTTTTTTTTGAGTTTTCTTGCATAAAATGACTAATATGGAAATGTTTTACATGACTACACATACATAGCCTATATCAGATTGTTTACCATTTCAGGAAGGAGGGAGGGAAGGAAGGGAGAGAGAGAATTTAGAGCTCAAAACTTAAATAAAAAGAATGTTAAAAATTGTTTTTACCTGTAATTGGGGGGATTTTTTTTTTAAAGTAGCTAAGTGCTCTCCAATCTACCTGTCTGGAGCTTTAACTCCCAACGTCCTATCATTTCTAGTTGGAAAAACACTGCCAGAGAAGCCAGAAGCAAGAGTTAAGTTGTTCCTCTCTGACATCTGCCTACAGTACAGTATCTACTCCTGAGGACCAGCTTAATTCCTTTTTTGTTCTT